GCCCGAGCGGGGCCGTTGCGGGCGGCGGGGCCGCGCGGAGTCGGAGGCGGCCATGGAGGGGCTGGCGGGGTACGTGTACAAGGCGGCCAGCGAGGGCCGCGTGCTCACCTTGGCCGCGCTGCTGCTGAACCGCTCCGAGAGCGACATYAAGTACCTGCTGGGCTACGTGAGCCAGCACGGCGGGCAGCGCTCCACGCCGCTCATCATCGCCGCCCGCAACGGGCACGCCAAGGTGGTGCGGCTGCTGCTCGAGCATTACCGCGTCCACACGCAGCAGACCGGCACCGTGCGCTTTGACGGGTACGTACGGGCCGGGCAGGGAGCCGGGCACGGCCCCGGGTACAGCCGGAGTGCGGGGAGCCCGCTCCGGGACACAGCGCTTCTTCCGGCTCGGGCTCTTCTGGGGCTTGGTGCGCTTTGGGAGTTCCAGCCCAGAGTGTTCCACGACCCTGGTGGTCTGTGGGAATCATTACCAACACAGTGTTCCGTGACCTGGTAGTCCTTGTGGGTCCCTTCCAGCTCAGTATTCTGTGATTTGGTGGTCCTTGTGGGTCMCTTCCAAGTCAGGCTGTTTTGTGACTTAATGGTCCTTGTGGGCCTCTTGCAGCTCAGACTTTTCTGTGACTTGGTGACCCTTGGGAGTCCTTTCCAGCCCAGATTATTCCATGACTTGGTGATCCTTAGGAGTCCTTTCCAGCCCAGATTTTTCTGTGACTTGTGGACCTTGTGTGTCCCTTTCCAGGGTGGGATATTCTGTGTTCTGGTGGCCCTTGTAGGCCCTTCCAGCTCAGTGTTTTGTGGTCTGGTGGCCCTTGTGCTGTTGATCTGTGATCCYTTCCCTGCCCTCCTCGGCAGAGCTTCCAGGAGGATCTGTTGCCTGCTCCTCCTGGGCACAGGGATGAAGCACAGGGCCCAGGGTCCTCCTTCTTTCTGGTTTTAGAAATGAATTTGTGATATCCACCCATAAACATTGTGTGGGTGTTGAAGACCCAAATTAGGTCAAAATTTGGTGATTATGTGATTAAAAAACACACGTGTGGTTGGAGATGCCACCTGCTGTGTTAAGAGCCTTTTCCCTTTGGAATTGCCCAGGTGAGGCTGTGGGCAGGATACTATTCCCCAGAGCCCGAGAGTTTCTGCTGGGCCAGAGTGGTCTTCCTGTGACATTTGTGCTGCTGCAGGTGGCAGTGGCGTCAGGGAGGGCTTCTCACACTCTAGTTTTTACGTGCAGAGCCACTTCCCTGCATGGTTTGTTTTTATTCCTTCCTTTCCCCTTCCAGCTGGTTTTTTTTTTTCCCAAAGCAGAAATGGGCTGAGAATTCCTGGGGCGAGCTTTGCCCTGAATCCTGCTGTGGGAAGGTGCTCCTGACAGGCAGCACATGCCCTGCTGCTGGAGTTTTGCCCAGCTGGGGTGGGGATGTTTTCCAGAGGCCGTGCCTGGCACAGATGAAAGGAGGAGTTGTCTGAGACACAATGGGTGCAGAGGAGGGGAGGAGAGGCCTTGTGATCTCCAGGGATTGCTGGGCCTYGGATAAGGGAGCACAGCGGCTCCCCGTGTCCGGGCTTCCCGCTCGGAGCCGCCACACACTGGCAGTCGCCTTGTGTTCATGGGCAAATCCTGGCTCCAGTTCTCCTCCTGCTTCAACAGAGAAATACTGTAATGGGATTGTTTGCAAAATCAGGAACTTCTCTCTGGGAATTCTCTCTGACATCTTTAAAAGCCTCTGGAGGTGCTGGATTTACAAACAGTTGATGTTGAGCTASGAGAGCTTCACCAAATGATAAAAAYCACTGTGAAMGTGAAATTTAAGCTGATCTTTTGATATTTTAAGTTTAGGAATGTGGCTCTTTGGATAGAAGGAAATATTTGTCCCTCCTCTGATTTGGGACRTGCTTTGAGGGTGGATGAGCACTGCCTGTTTCTTCATTTAAATCCTACAAAAAACAGGAAATAGGAAGGACAGATCCTTTATTTTGTGTGCTGGGTCAGGGAATGAAATCAGCTTAAAAAGAGGGACCTGTCCCCTCATGTCCCCGTTGGCTGCAAGGCCACCTTGTGACACAGGTCTGTGGGACAACCCCGCTTGGGACTTTCTGCATTTTTGGGTCGGATTTTCTTCCTGGGGTTCTGTTTGTGTTGCCGCTGCAGGGCTGGYTCAGGGCACAGGATCTCAAACTGGGAAGTGCTGGTGGATCTGCAGCTCAGGGAGAGGGAGCAGGGGAAGTGAGAAGAAATTTTGAAGCCAGTTTTGCTGCCAGGGCTGATGCTGCTTTCTAAATCTGTTTTTTGTGCCAAAATACCCATTTTTCTTTGTCTTTAACGTGTCACTTTATGGCACTAAAGTGATAATTTTGGAGCTCTGCTTCGCAGTCCTCCCTAGGCTGTCGCTGGAGCTTGTGGGTGGGATCTTAAAGGTGGCCAAAGCCCTTGGCTGCTTTGAAGTTCCAACTCCCAACGCTCCTTCGTTAGGGAGCTCTGTGTGCTCCATCAGCCTCATTTCCACACCTTGGCGATCCCAGTGAGATCCATGAAATCCCGGATGGGGCTGGCTGCAAAACACCTGTTGGTGGCTGGGTGTGGGTTGCTTTTGGAAGAGTTTCATCCTAACTCCCTGTCCCTGTCCTCCCGTTGGCAGCTTCGTCATCGATGGCGCCACGGCGCTGTGGTGCGCGGCCGGCGCCGGCCACTTTGAGGTGGTCAAGCTGCTGGTGAGCCACGGTGCCAACGTCAACCACACCACGGTGACCAACTCGACGCCGCTGCGGGCGGCCTGCTTCGACGGGCGCCTGGACATCGTCAAGTACTTGGTGGAGAACAACGCCAACATCAGCATCGCCAACAAGTACGACAACACCTGCCTGATGATCGCCGCCTACAAGGGCCACACGGACGTGGTGCGCTACCTGCTGGAGCAGCGCGCCGACCCCAACGCCAAGGCCCACTGCGGGGCCACCGCCCTGCACTTTGCTGCCGAGGCCGGCCACCTGGAGATCGTCAGGGAGCTGGTTAAGTGGAAGGCGGCCATGATGGTCAATGGGCAYGGCATGACGCCACTCAAAGTGGCCGCTGAGAGCTGCAAGGCCGATGTTGTTGAGCTGCTGTTGGCGCACGCTGACTGCGACAGGAGGAGCAGGATTGAGGCGCTGGAGCTGCTGGGGGCCTCCTTTGCCAACGACAGGGAGAACTATGACATTTTGAAGACGTACCACTATTTGTATTTAGCCATGCTGGAGAGGTACCGCGACAGCGAGAACGTCATCGAGAAGGAGGTGCTTCCCCAAATCGAGGCCTACGGGAACAGGTCGGAGTGCAGGACCCCGCAGGAATTGGAGTCCATTAGGCAGGACCGAGACGCCCTGCACATGGAAGGCCTCATCGTGCGGGAGAGGATCCTGGGCTCGGACAATATCGACGTGTCCCACCCCATCATCTACCGGGGTGCRGTGTACGCCGACAACATGGAGTTCGAGCAGTGCATCAAGCTGTGGCTGCACGCCCTGCACCTGCGGCAGAAGGGCAACAGGAACACCCACAAGGACCTGCTGAGGTTCGCACAGGTCTTCTCACAGATGATCCATCTGAACGAGCCTGTAAAGGCCAAGGACATTGAGAGCGTCCTGCGCTGCAGCGTCCTGGAGATCGAGCAGGGCATGGCCCGCATCAAGAGCAGCGCGGACGCCGACGTCCACACGGCCACGGACAACTACGAGTGCAACATCTTCACCTTCCTSTACCTGGTGTGCATCTCCACCAAGACGCAGTGCGGCGAGGAGGAGCAGGCACGCATCAACAAGCAGATCTACAACCTGATCCAGCTGGACCCGCGCACGCGCGACGGCTCCAGCCTGCTGCACCACGCCGTCAACTCCGGCACGCCCGTGGACGACTTCCACACCAACGACGTGTGCAGCTTCCCCAAYGCCCTGGTCACCAAGCTGCTGCTGGACTGCGGTGCCGACGTCAACGCTGTGGACAACGAGGGCAACAGCCCCCTGCACGTCATCGTGCAGTACCACCGGCCCATCAGCGACTTCCTGACCCTGCACTCCATCATCATCAGCCTGGTGGAGGCCGGTGCCCACACAGACATGACCAACAAGCAGAAGAAAACGCCCCTGGACAAAAGCACCACCGGGGTGTCTGAAATCCTCCTTAAAACTCAAATGAAGCTGAGTCTCAAGTGCCTGGCTGCCCGCGCCGTGCGGATCTACAACATCAGCTACCAAAACCAGATCCCCAGGACTCTGGAAGAGTTTGTCCAGTTCCACTAGGCCGTGTCCAACCTTCTGTGGTGGTGCTATCTCGGGGGACGGCAGCAGACAGCAGAATGCACCCGYGTCCGGGAAGTCGTTTCCCTCCGTTCCTTTGGTTTTGGGTTCCTCTGGATTCCGTCTGCAGCCTTGGGTCTCTGGTGGAGATTGTGGAGGGCGGGGGCAGGAAGAAGCTACTCATTGTCCTGTAGCTGAACCTGATGTTTGAGATTTTGGTCATTTCTTTTATGATTAAAAAATTGCTTCATTAGCTCTCAGTTTTCTAAATGACACGAGAAATATCCCCCGGGTAATGCCCATTGAATGTTTTGTGTCCAACACTCAACAATGCGCAAATTGGATTTCAAGCTCCTTGCAGTGAGGTGGGCAAAGAAAAATTGGAAATTCTGTGGCCGCTGCTTAATAGTGGAGCATCCCCACCTGGAGCAGAGCACTGCTCTCATACCTCACCATGCTTTTTATGCCTTGCAGTTTGTGCTGGAGGTGTCGGTAACATCATGAAAGCCGCGTTTGGACGGGAAATTCCAAATTCCCGTTTGTGCAGCGGTTACCGACAGCTGCAGGCACGAGGGATGCTCTGTTAGGAAATGCAGGTCCAAATCCAGCTCTKAATTCTGTTACCCAGCTCTTCACCAACGCTGCTCCAGGAAGTACGGAATCACCTCCAGACAAGGAACCTCCGCGCCGACCCAAAATAACCGGAATCATCGTTTCTTTCTCYGTAGCTCCGTCGCTCCTATCCAAACATCATGCATGGATCCCTAGAAACTGGGTAGGGTGTTTGTGTTTGTGTGTGTCCCAACATTTCAAACTGCTTTTAACTCGGGTTTTTTTCTGTTGTTCCGATACTCAACACGCACCTTTTTGTTTGACTCAACGTCTGTCCAACCGCACTCTTGGATTCCAGATGCTGTATCTTCCTAACGGAGCAGTCTGTCGCCAAAGAGAGTCTTCCTTGAACCTGGCTTTTCCAAGAAGCGTTGGAGTCTGTGCCTCCCCGAATTGGACTCGAGGGTTTTTCATGGTTTTTACTCCTTTCGGTAGGGAAAAATCTCTATTCTTAGAACTGATTTTTACAAAATTGTCCTCTCATCAACCTCTCTGCTGATGAGCAGCTGATTGTAGGAGAACGTTGTCGCTTGAGAACTTTGGGAGAAGTGGCAGATGCTCCGACAGGAAAATTGTCACTTGTTGGGACAGGCTCCTGAACCCTCTGTTCCTTTCCCACGCAGCTTTTTAACTGTCAGGATGAACGAATGTTCCGTTGGGGTTTTTTTAAAAACAATCCGGGTAGAACTTTCAGGCGAGATTGGGGCACACGTTTCTATTTGTATGACAAAGAAATAAACATTGAATGTGGAATTAGTGTGGAATTCCTGGTTTTTGTCCAGGGCTGAATGCTGGGTGTCATGTCCTTTGAGGGAAAAGCTTTAGGAACAGGTTTAGGATCAGGTTTAGGGACAGTGAAGCTCGGGCTGCCACATTCCTGGAATTGTCCAAGGCCAGGTTGGAGCAACCTGGGATAGTGGAATGTGTCATTTTCCTGGGATGATGGAGACCCAGCAGCATTAAAATTCCCAGCAGCTGATTCCAAAACACTTCCTAAAGGAGAGGGTGTACTGTGGGAAGAGCAGCTGATGGAAAAGCTGTGTCCTTGTCCCACTTCCTGGTGAATTCCTGCTGTCTGGTGTCATGGAATGCTGTCCTGCCACCTTCCCTCTTGGCAAAGGACAGGGAATACCTGCGGACACCTTTGGAATCCTGGGACTGTCTCTCTTGATGATCTGCAATTTTCTTTCTGAGCATTAAAACCTGCGGGGCTGCCCTGGCTCTGGGGTTATTTAAAGCTCCTGATAAAATTCCTTGGAGCCTTCAGGTGCTGCGAGTGTATTGTGTATTTATATGGCATATATGAAATGTATAAATACATATAAAAAATGTGTATTTATATATATAAATACATAAACCCGTATGTTTATATATATATATATATAAAAATACATAAAATATACACATATATATAATACATGAAATACGTAAATACATATAAATGTATTTTATATCTAAAAGAAATATTTAATATAGAACTTATATATAATATATATTATATGTATTTTATATATATAACAAAATATACATAAATCCATATGTATTTATATATATATATAAAATATTAATACATAAAATATGTATTTATATATATATACACACATGTATATGTGTGTATATATATTAAAATATAAAATTATATAAAATTATATATAATGTATATATAGATACAGAAAAAGGTATACATGTATACCTGTTTACATACACACAATAAATATTTATTATTTTATAAATACAAAAATATAGGAATACAGAAATATAAATACCTAAATATATCTAAATCTCTATATATTTATAGATATATATATATATACATTTTAAATATGTAGAATATATTAAAATACATATATATAATAGATATATAAAATAGATAAAAATATAAAATATATATAGGTAAGAGGGAGTATATATGTATTTTTATATATTTATRTAAAAATAATCCTATCTGCACAGGCAGGTGTTGTCTTGCTCCAGACATGCACCCACCCAATCCCAAGGAACATCCCACAGAAGGATCCTGCCYGTTCCTGGCTGTTCTCCAGCTGATTCCCTCTGTGTTCCGGGATTCAAAGCCTGGAAAGGAGGAAAGGAAGGAGGTACCCTGTGGGATCCACCCAGAGCTGAGGAATCCTGGGATTTGGGCTCTCTGRGGTATCCCTGCCCCCCAGCGGGACCACGGAGCTCCCAGTCCACCRACAACTTGGACATGGAGGATTCCCGCTCCAGCTGAGAATGGAAAATATKATTTGGGATTTTTTTCCCTGCATTTGATACCAAGTTTGGGACTCCCAGAGGCTTCATCCTCCTTTAAAACAGGCTGGAAAACCCTCACATCCCACAGGAACAAATGATGGGGAAAAGTCACAAACTGGGATGGAACTGGGATAGAATAGGATAGAATCYCATCCTAAATTGGGCTGGAACCCCATGCTACCCATGGTACCTGGGCTGGAATGCTATCCCATCCCCTGACTCACARAGGGATGGGAGCACAGACCCCTCACACCCATGGAAGAAGGGAACAGACACTGTGAATTTTTAAAATACCGTATCTTTAATCCTTCAAAAACACCAGGACAGTATTTCCCAAACCTCATCCCGCATTCAGAAACATCCTCTTCCCTCCTCTCCATAAAATTAATATTAGCATAAATAATTCTGCTATGCCAGGGGCACATTCCTGCCCCTCGAATTCCATGATTTCCATGGCACCATGTATGTACAGCTATGATACAGGTGGGGGCCCTCGCCACGGCCACGAGCTCCCCAAACTGCTCTGCTGGGAGAAAACTCATCAAACTGCTTTTAATTGATTTTTTGTAACAACTTTTAATTTATTTTGACTTTATTTTTTTTTTCCTGGGAATTTTTTCCCAGAATTTTCCATTCTCCTTTTCTCCTTCCTGTTTTTAGAACAATTATGTACAGCTGGACACTGGAGATGGGCATTAAGGTGCTTGAAATCACGATCGTTCYGTTCAGTGCATTCAGACTAATTAACGCCTCCACTTAATTACTCCTCTTAACGAAGGCAGTTTGAGAGCCGTGGCCAGCAGAGCCTGGGATTTGCTCCGGCCCCGCCATGGGAAGGAGCGATCTGTGGGATTTTTTGGGATATTTTTATTGTTTTCAGGAGTTTTGCAGCCCCGTGTTGGGCACACCTCAGCCACGCTGCTGCTGCCTTGGAATCCCAGCTGGAAGCTCCTCCGAGGAGACTTTGGGGAATTTTKGGGGTGGTTTGAGGGGTTTTGATGGCTTTTGGCTCTCATCCCGCTGCAAAGCCAAGCTCAGCTCCAAATTCCTCGGGATCCCAGGAATCCCGGGCTGGGAGGGGGCATGAGGGGCTCCTGGCCCCCGCAGYGTCACTCCATCCCTTGGGAATTCTGCTCCCGCTCCGCCGCTCGCCGCCGGCTCCCGCTCTTGAAGAACCCGAGCTGCGAGGAGGGAAGAGAAACAGAATCCTGCTGTTAATCYGGGATCTGGCCTTTAGTGGGGTACCAGCTGGAAGTTTAGACCCTGGATATAATTTCTGTAGAAAAGGAGATTTTGGAGGAGYTCTTGGTGAGTCCTGGTGGTATTGTGGGGCTCGTGGGGCTCCGGACGTGGAGCCAGAGGGTCCCTCCCTGCACCAGAATCCCCAAAAATCCCCCAAAACTTGGGGCCCGAGGGCTGCTGACCTTCCAGAGCGCCAGGACGAGGAGGGCCAGGAGCAGGAGCCCTCCAAAGGTGCTTCCCAGGATGATCCAGATGGGAATGTGYGACTCCTCGGGCTTGGAGATCTCAAACGTGATCTGAAGGAGGAGAGAACAAAGTGCTGCGGGTTCTGGGCAGGGATGGAGGGGACAGYGGGAATGCTGAGCACCTGATCCTTTGGGAATGCTGAGCATCCRATCCTTTGGGAATGCTGCACCAAGCATGCAGCTTAGTTTTCCCAGCAGAATCTGGAGATTCCAGGATTGGAGCCCGGCTCTGGCTACAACCGCACCGAGTTTCCGAGTTTCCCTGGCTCACTCCAGCCCTTTTGCCATCCACAGGGATTTTCCCAACTTTTCAGAGTTGCAGCCTCCCAACTCCCTGGATTTGGTGGCTGGGATTAGGGTTACACAATCCCAAAATCCCTGGATCCCAAATCCCAGGCTCACCTGGCGGCTGAGATCAGAGCTGCAGCATCCCAAATCCCCAGATCCCAAATCCCGGGCTCACCTGGCGGCTGGGATCAGAGCTGCAGCGTCCCAAATCCCCAGATCCCAAATCCCGGGCTCACCTGGCGGCTGGGATCAGAGCTGCAGCATCCCAAATCCCCAGATCCCAAATCCTGGGCTCACCTGGCGGCTGGGATCCTCCTCGCGGAAGATGAAGGGGCTCCGGAAGCGCCGCTGGAGCGCGGCGTTCATGGTGAGCTTCAGTGCCTTGAACTTCAGCTGCAGCAGAGGGGCTGGGATCAGCATTCCCGGAGGGAAAAGGAGCTGCCATTCCCAGGGGATCCATCCCCCTGTCCTGGGATTTATCCCCCCACTGTGGCTTTGMATCCCCAGGRATGCTGTGGGCACCTCCATGGGAGAGAAGGATGGAGGGCGGGCAAGGGGTGGGGGCCAAAAGGGGATGTTAAATTAATTAAATTTGCATTAATTAATTAATTTTTGGGTTAAATAGTCCACAGTGAGGCGCTGTGAGTGTCAGATTCACAATCCAATCAGATTCTCAAAGTGGCTTTGGGAACAAAAAAAACACCCCACACAGCCTGGAAAGGATGCAAGACCTCCTCTGGGGATTTATGCTCCAAATCCYTGGGGTTTTTTGGGATCACTCACTGCTCTCAGAGACTTCATCCACAGATTCCCATGGAGGTGCAGCTTCAGCTCCTCACCGGGGGCCAACTCCACCTCACACTCGATGGAAACCACGTCYGAGTTGCTGTGGTTCTGCAGAGGGAAACGTGGGATCGGCGCTGGAAAAGGAGGGAAAATCCCCCTGGGACTGATCCCCAGCAGTCGCCGAGGGAGGGAGAATCCCCGTGGAGGGGCTGCGTGCCCATCCTCCCGTGTGGCCAAATCCCCACATTCCTTACAACTAGCTCCCCGTTTTCCACCCCGAGCTTCCCAAATTTGCTCTTTTYTTTGGGGCTGCTCTTCTCCTCCAAGTTTTCCCTTGGAAAAGAATGATCTTTGTGAGCTGGAGAATCCCCTTGCTCCCCATAAATGCTGAGTGTTAAAGGGRTTTTATATGTAGTACCTGAGAGGAAAAATTAAACTACTGAAGGGCTTTAAAATCTCTCAAAAAATTCTAAAAGTCTCCTAAAAATTCCTAAAAGTTCCCCAAAAACTCCAGTGGCTACATGCCCGTCCCCTCCCATGTCTGTGGGCCATTCCTGCTTTGGGATTTTCCCTGTTTTGGGGTCTCCTGGAGCTGAGATGGGTGCTGTGGGGGTGAGTACCAGGTGTGGGGTGCGGGACAGGTCCTCCTCAGCCGGGCTCCTCCGATAGTCCGTGGTGTTCCCCCAGATGCTGCAGGGCGTGTTTTCCTGTGGGAAAAGCCAATGGAATTCCGGWATGGACACAGGGATCGTGGTGGTCACTTCCCTGCACTCCCATCCCGGTGGGATTGAGGGTCCCCAGCACATCCCAGGATTTGCTGSAGTTGGGATCAAGCCGTGCTTGCTGGGCTGGAGGAATCCCGGTGTCCTACGGGAATGAATTCCCAAGTTTTGTGCCTCTTCCCAGCAAAACCCAGCCTGGCAGAGAGCCTCATCCCAGATTCCGGCCATGTGTGCCAGGGTGGCACCGGTGACACAAGGATTCTGCCAGAGCTGTGTCACAAAACATTCCCAGCAGAATTCCCAATTCCCAATGGAGGCCAAATCCATCCATAAAAACTCCATCCCTAAAAAATACCATTTGTGGAAACTCCATCCATAAAAATTCTACCCATAAAAATTCCATCCATAGTAAATTCCATCCATAAAGGTGCCAGGCTCTTTCCATCGGCCTGGGAAGCCCTGGAATCTGCTCCTAGCCCTCCCAAATTCCAGGCTCAAGCCTGGAGTTCATTCCAGGCACAGCCAACGCTTCCTAGACCCTCAGGAATTCGCTGCACACTGGAGGGAGGTTGAGATTGGAGAAATCCTTGGAATAAACCCTTTGGCCTCTGCCATTTTCCATGTTTCCATGAATCCATGATTCCATATTTCCAGCCAAGGGAATGCTAAGTCTCTCTGGGCATGACCCAGGTGTGGGYACAGGGGTGTTCCCAAAGGATGGAGGGACTTTCCATGGAATTCCTCCCTCCCTGTCCCTGTGCAGAAGGCACCTATCCATCCTAAACTGGGCTGGAATYCCATCATCAATCAGGATAGAATCCTATCCTAAACTGGGCTGGAATCCCATCCCAAATGGGCTGGAATGCTCCCATACCTGGGCATGAATCCTATCCCAAAGCAGCTGGAATCCCCCGTACCTGCTCGGGCCGGAATTCCGTCAGCAGCAGCAGGCGGTTGCCCCCGCGGGTGGCCACGGGCATGGTCAGCCGGAGGGTCAGCCCSGCCACCGGGAAGAATCCCAGGTTCTGCAGCTGCAGGAAAGAGCACAGGGATGTGCCAGGATCCCAGGATGAGGATCCCAGGGCCCATCCCAAATCTGGGATAACTCCTGGGGGTCCCACAGGGTCAGATCCCTCCTCACCGTGAAGGTGCAGTGGAAGGGGGGCCCGGCRCCGTTGGATCTTTCCAGGGAATTGTTGGCTCGGATCTCGTAATGGTCCAGGCTCGAGGTCCTGGGGGAACATGGGGTGACCAGGGGTGATCTTTGTACGATTTTCCCCTTCTTTGTAGGATTTCCCATTTTTTAGTAGGATTTTCCCTTTCTTTGCAGGGTTTCCCCCTTTCTTTGCAGTGTTTCCCCCTTCCTTTGCAGGGTTTCCCCTTCCTTTGCAGGATTTTCTCTTTCTTTGCAGGATTTTCTYCCCCTTTCAATAAAGCAGAGCTATCCAAGGCCCCAGCTAACCCTAAATCAATCYCTGCTCTGCAGCTGGAGAGGAGGGAAAGGAGCCAGGAATGTCCTGTAGGACCTGGGCTGGGAGCACCTGCAATGGCACATAGCCCCAAATCCCCACATTCTTTAAAATTATYGCCCTCCTTTTCCGTGCCAAAGTTCCCAAATTTGATATTTTCYGTGCTGTTCTTCCCCTTCCACGCTTCCCCTTCGTCCTGAACCGGAGAATCCCCTCGCTCCCCATAAATCCCGAGTTTTAAAGGGATTTTATTTTCAATGTCTGAGAGGAAAAGATATAAAATGACCGAAGGTCTCAAAAATCTCCTCAGGATTCCAGCAGACAGTGCCAGGGAATGTGCTTYGGGGTCCCTGCTTTTCCCATCAGCTCCATGAATTATCCGTGCCTTCATCCCTGCCTCTCCCAGACTTTAATTCCTGGTGATTCCACTCTCATCCCTCTGCTGGATTTGTGGGATGGCTGCCGGCCCAGACACYGGGAACACCTGTTATGGCCATTGTCACCTCCAAGAAATCCCTGTTTTTCCCATAAAAACTTGACCTCACACCTCTCCCATAACATCTGTCCCTTCAAACGTCGGGAGAGCCCAGCTCCCCACAGCTGGGGAATTCTACAAAAATCTCTCCCTGATTTTACGGCTCCTCCAGCTCCCGGTTTTTACATCAATTCCCAAATTAAAGCTCTGCTTGAAGCCTGCTCCCGGCTGCTTTTCCCRAGGGATATCCCACATTCCGTGACCTCCCGGGAGCTGCGTCTCTCACCTGGTGAAGAGCAGGTCGGCCTCGTACTTCAGCTGGAAGTTGAGGTGGGCGACATTGTCCTCCCTGGTGCTCTCCTCCTCCTCRCTGTCACTGCAACGAAGCCACAGGGGGTCAGCCAGGAGCCCAATCCCCTCTGGAATTTTGGGTTTTTTTTTTTTTGGAAGGCTGAACTTTTGATTTTTTGGTCAAGGCAGCAATTTTATTCCAGGATTTTTATTCACCTCCATAAAAGATGGAATCCCATCCTAAACTGAGCTAGAATCCTATCCTAAATTGGGATATAATCCC